AGCTGTCCCGACAAACGACTCTCGTGGTTTTATTCAGGCAAGTGTGAGCACAGCCCATTCCATCTAACTCTCCTCTATACAACTCGGGCAACTGGCACAACTTTGCTGAACAGCCTAAGAATTAGTAGACTAGTAACAGCAACGTTTTTGTCAGACTTCCGCAACACGAATATTGGAAATGACGAAAACAGAACTCGACAATTCTTCAGGGCACACACGCTGGTTCTTGATATGAAGATCGAAGGGCAGCAAGATCAAAGCAAAACTATGCTTGGTCCTGAAGGGATCGATATGATGACTAAAGCATGAGTCACAGCATCCCGATTGTCGTATCAAACACGAGTACTTGAAAAATCAAGCAGAGGGGCTCCACGAGAACCCTACACCCCATTCTGCTCAACGGCGCTGCTAGATCACGGAATTCACACATGAGCACAACGTACAATGGGCGAAACAAAGAATGTGAACACACGTTGGTAATGAACCACAATCTACGTGTGACGCCCTCGTACGGAGAGGCAGGATTTGTCATCTCTCTAATATGTACTTCTGGCCCCACATGACGAATTGCACTCCATCAATATTAGTTAACTAACGTTGTACAGTCAGTTCAGGAACACGACAGATTACTCATTTTCTGTAAATATATGAATGATGACGAATAAAGATACTCGTAATTCAGACAGTGCAATTTAAAAAGTGAAACTTGTTCACCTTAATTTATTAGCTACGTAGTTGAACCGGTTTCATTTGAAGGTCTACATCAGTATATCTCGTGTGTTGTGGTCGTCCGCATAGAAAAACCACATTATTTGAGTACTCTTAAAAAAGTATATTTTAATAAATTGTTTGTCGCAAATTTTAATATTACGAAACACTGAGACGTTTTATGTAGGAATGATGTCCCAATTAGATCATTTATTTGTACTAAGTTTATCGACTTTTTCTTTCACGGAGCGATTGAAAGCGTGTATTTGTGTGTGTGTTGGGGGGGGGGGGGGGGGGGGGGGACAATATGAAATACCTCAAGGTTACTGTTTATCTGTGTCTAGCTTGATAAATTCCTTTAAAATATTTGTGACCCAACTTCCAAGGTGAACTTTCACAACACGAACATACTCTTCGTCTAGCAGTCGAGCCCAAATACAAACTGAGAACGTGATATCCAACATGAAACAGGCATGAATGGAAGCTCAAACGTGTCACATGCCAAAAGACGCTTCTGCTTAAAAGGGCGTCCTTTGCAAAGGGACAGTTCTGCAGCCAAAATGGGAACCCCATGTATGACAAAGAATATCAACAAAATGTACCATTCAAAGGCACAGAGATATCACACTTCGAACTACGATATCTACTACCGAACGCCCATGTTAAGTACCCTCGTTTCATATTCGGGTGTCCCGAGTTCAAACCTCGGCTCAAGACCGGCTAACCAGAGCGTTTTCGCCAGTCCCTCCAGGCACATGATACAATAGCATCTAAAAATAGGTCACAACCGTTTTATTCAATTACCCGAAATAACATGACCTATGCGTTAAAGTGTTGTTAAATAACCCACAAAACAAAATTGGGGTATTTTTCGAACGGCTGAATACATCGTCCGAGGAAGCAGAAAAAGCTTTCCATTTACAGCTTAATAAGTTTGTTATTGCCTTCTTTATGGCTCGACTATGGTAATAATGATCCTGGTTAGAGCCACAATCTTGAATACCATGTGGGGCACACAGGTTCGTGTCTGCGTTTTACAACACAAAATATTTCAGACACCTCATACGCTTCTGGATATTTCCTCCAGGTAACTGCCATGAAGACACCTTGGAAAATGGAGGTACGGCCTATAACCAGTTGCTGACTGACTGAGCTATCCTGAATCCTAATCGACGACATGTACTCGTATTTGTGTCCCAAAAATCTCAAACAATCTGTGCTGAAAGCAAAAGCGACTGTACGTCGAGCAACGTCACCAGTCGGCGATGTGTGACGCTACAGGCGCCTACCGAGAAGTACCCAAAAATAGGGAGAAAGAAGCATAGAACCACTGGTCGCTCACGACTGAGATTACAAGTCAGCTTTATCTGCTGCATACCTCAGTATACAGACGCTGCGAGCCCTCCCACTTCATGCTATTCACACTCTTATTGTGATAAGTAATATTCCTCGACCAGAAGGTAGTTCCTTAGTAACGTGAACCATTGTCAGAATGAGGAACACGAGATTCAGGTGATTTTCCAGCTGCAACTTTGTCGAAAGAAATTACGATTCCATACATTAAGAATAAAGGTTAAAATCTGTACGAGTTCTATTCAACAGAACTGAAGTCTTAATGCTGTAATCTAAAGCACACATATTTTCCAAATTCGTCAATTGGTACTTTGCATGCAACAATGGCTTTGTTTATTTACTCCACACACAAATTTATTGATTCCTAACTGCACTATAGATTCTTAGCCCAGAGTAATAAATTATCTTTCCAAATGCGTTGTTATTCAACATGCGAAAAAATGTTCCAATAAATTTCACATAACGTAACAAGTTCTACATTTTCGTCCATTTACTACTTTCAAAGAAAGAGTGATTCCTAAAAAATCTTTATAAATTTCAATTTTGGCTCTACGTATGTACAGTAGAAGTTCATATGCACCAAAATTAAATTCTCTACTTAAATTTTTAAAATCTACTAGGGCAGAACGCTCCTTTCGGAGCTCCTCGGAGGGGTTGGTCAAGTTTTTAAAAAGAAACGAACCCCTTCGGGGGGGGGGGGGG